TGGAAACAGCCCAAGTGCCCATCAGTAGGTGAGTGGATAAAAAAGCTGTGGTACAGCCCTAGCTGGTTTGGCTCAGTGGATAGACCATCAGGCTGCAACTGAAGTGTCCTAGGTTCAATTTCAGTCAAGGGCACATACCCGAATTGTGGGCTCAATCCCCAGTAGGGGGCATGCAGGAAGCAGCCAATCAATGATTCTCTCTCATCATTGATGTTTCTATCTCTCTTTCTCCCTCTCCCTTCCTCTCTGAAATCAATAAAAATATATTTTAAAAAATTTGCATACATGCATCATATCCCTAGTAAGAGAATCCCAGAATTTTCCCTCCCGTGTTTTTTCCTTAACTTCTTCACGTCCATGATGCCTAGAGGTTGCCAATACAATAAAACCAAACTGGCAGTATGGGGAACGTGTTGTTCTGCTATTTTTCTAGATCTTTGAGTTGCATATTAGGTTGGGGGTCAATCACTCCACACTTGTTTAGCCTACCTGTGAGGTTCTCAACCATTTTCCCAGCTCTGTGGTCATCAAAGATTTCAAATGTTGCCCATGTAGCCATGCTTCATCATCATAGTTAGAAATGGAACGATGACTTTGGAGCGTGACTTAAGAAGAATCTGGTGTTTGCCTCTCTTTTTGGCATTGTTGATTCTCTTGAGAGCATCAGCCAGGACATTCATGCACACTTTAAGAGGGCAGGAACGATGGCAGAAAACGACACTGAGGTGTTTGAAGCGCACAGGTGGGCTACGTTATAGAGTGTCCCTCATTTTGGTGTCTCATGTTTTCTCATAATTAGGTTCAGATGATGGATTTATTTTTTTTGACAGGAAAACCACAGAGGTGATGTTGTGTCCTTCTCAGTGCATATCAAGAGGCACATCTTGTTGATTTGTTCCATTACTGGTGAGGTTAATTTCTATCACCTGGTTAAGGTGATGTCTGCTAGTATTCTCCACTGATACTATTTTTTCCCCTTTGTAATAAATAAGTAATCTGTGGGAAGATACTTTGAGACTAGATAAATGTCCTGTTCCTCATTGAATTTGCATCAAAGGTGTAAATTTCCCTTCATGATTCTGGGTGGAATCTCCTGTTTAATATGCCAGGACCATCACAAACCCTAAGAGGCCTGGGTCTCTTGTGATCTCTTGAAAGGGGTGGAGCTGGGGAGACAGTACAAGGCTGATGGTGGCCAGAGAGATCTAAATGGAAATGAATAAATCACTAGGGTGGCCTAGGGGGACGAGGGACCCACAGAGCTTAGAGATTCAGTGAAAAACTGAGGCTGGTGAGAATTCATGCCCCCAAACATGTATAAAGGCCTACTTTGTACCAGGTGCTGTATTAGGCCTGAGGCACAGCATTGAACACTGACGTGTTCAATGACACTGACGTGGGAGGGTTAAACAACAGAAACATATACAGCAGGCCCTCCTCCCCACCCCTTAATCTCTGGTTTTGTTTTCTGCTGCTTCATTTACTTGAGATCAACCATGGTCTAAAAATATTAAATGGAAAATTCCAGAAATAAACAATTCATAAGTTTTAATAGTAAATTGTGCGCCATTCTGAACAGCGTGATGAATCCCACCCAGGATGTGAATCATCCTTTTGTCCGGTGTATCCCATGCTGTATACTCTACCCACCCACTAGTCACTTAGTAGCCTGCTCAATTACCAGGCCGACTGTCATGGTATCGAAGTGCTTGTGTTCAAGAAACCCTTATCATCAGAAGGTCGATAGTAGCCTAAAGTCACGGTGCCTTCGTCATCCACTTCACTTAACCTCATCACGTGGGCATTGTCTCATCTCACATCTTCAAGAAGGATGAGTACATTACAAGATATTTTGAGAGACTACATTCACATAACTTTAATGACAGTATATTGTTATGTGTCCTATTTTCTTTTCTTATTAGTTATTGTTGTTAGTCTCTTACTGTGCTTAATTTATAAATTAAACTTTATCAAAGGTATGTATGTACATATAGGAAAAACCATTGTACTAGTATATACAGGTTTTGGTACTATCCACAGTTTCAGGCACCCACCCAGGGTCTTGGAACATATCCCCTGTGAATAAGGGAGACTACTGTAATATGTTTCAGGAGCCGAGATGGAAAAACCAATGAGAGAGAGGTTAAGAAGATAGAGTAACAGGGTATTTCTCCCAGACAAAGCAATCCTGCTCCCTTTTCCCTCTCATCTACCCTCCCATGGTCTCCCTGCAGCTGCCAGACACTCTGGCTGATTCAAGTGCTCTCTTGGGGAGTGGGGCGGTGCCAGCTCCAGGGTAGGGACTCTTGGCTCAGAGCCCCGCACACGCCCCCCTGGCTGGCCCCAGATCAGGCAGGGAAGCCTCCAGTTTGGCTGACAGGGACTGGTGAAATGGAGGGCTTCTGGGAAAGGGAAGCCGGTGCAGGCTGGGTGGGCTCCGTGAAGGAGGAGAAGACCCGCAGGGTGAGGGGAGTCCCCTAATCAGACTGATGGAGATGGATATAAATAATAATAATAATAATAATAATAATAATAAACATAATCAAACATGTTTCCAGTGCTTACCTTGCTGGGCTTTGGGTAAATATTGGACATTGTAATCTCACCTAATTTAAGTGGCTGATGTATGTCATCACCTGTGCAGGCAGGGAGCATGGACACGCTTTTACAGGTGAAGATAATTGGGTTCAGAGAAGTGATGCCATTTTCCAGAGGTCACACAGCAAGTGATCTGAAGAGCCTGGAAAGGAACTCGGGGCCCTGTGGGTTCAAATACTGACTCAACCACCGCCTGTACCATCTGACGACCAGCACATCCCCCATCCCAGGCCCCTCCCACCTCATCCTCCTTTCCTGGGAAGCTCCCAGGTCACCTTCTGCGTTTGCTTCCTCCACTCCCCTTGACCAGCAAGGAATACAGCTCTGGGGTGCAGTCCGCCAGGCCTAGTTCCAGTTAGCCTTGGCCAGGTGAACACACATCTCTGAGCCTCAGTTTCTTGAGCTGCAAAATAGGGCTAGAAATAGAGCTACTGAGAGGAATCAAAGCGTTGATGCGCTTAAGCACTTAACCCAGGAGGCAGTCTGCACTCAGCGAGCTGCAGGAGGCGCGCACCTACGCCTCTCTGTGCCTGCTTCCTCCTGTGTACAACGGGACAATAAACAAGAGTGCCCGTGCCCTGGTCCGCTGGCTCAGTGGAGAGAGCACTGCCCGTGGACTGAAGGGTCCTGGATTCTGGTCAAGGGCACGTACCTTGTACCTCGTACCTCGATTGCAGGCTTGATCCCGGCCCGGGGGGCAACCAATCGATGTGTCTCTCTCACATCCATGTTTCTGTCTCTCCCCTTCCCTTCCTTCCACTCTCTCTAAGAATGATTGGAAAAATATTGAAGATTAAAAAAAAAAAGAGTGCCTCGTTGGTCGTTCTGAGGATATATGTGCACACGTATATGTAAAGCACTAAGAACCTAATTGCTGTTATCATCGGGGGGGT